AAATTTTTTGTTCTAATTAGATAAAATAATTTTTTTGGTTGCTTTCAAATTTTATTTAAAATTATTATCATCACATTATTTGTCGACCGTCATTTAATAAGTTTTTGTTATATCTATTTCACTTTTCGCAATATCTATTATAATTATTTTAATACATATAATTGATATAATAAATATAGTTGATATAATATATAAATGACATTTTGACATTTTCAATATTTTTACGTATTACTGCGCCTATTTCTTGTAGCACCGGTTAACGAATATTTACTGATAAAGATTTGTAGGCCGGTTCCCAAGAATATTAAAAATTTTGGTTATGTAAGGTACCTGTTGCACAACTTTGAATTATTTGTGCCACATTTTTCCGTATGTTTCATATCGCTTTGTATTACCTCTAGTACTTAAAAATTTCTATCCTGCTTCTTTTTTAAATTAACTAAAATGATTAGTGCATTCTTTATATTTTTTCTTTTTGTTGTTATTTATCCCATATCCTGTCAAATAATTCAACGCATTGATGCCACAAGTGTAATCAAAGATAAAATCATATATGTTCTTGTAGGATTTATTAATGAAAAGACTATACCTGAGATATTATCCCTCGATCTTACTACCTCAATGACAGCAGATTCACCACCATGGAAGCGGCTGAAAGTCCCACCTTTGTCATTTGGATGGAGCGAAGTGGTTCTTGGCGGTCTTAATAATAAATATTTACTTGTCATTGGTGGTGATATGTTTGACTCGGTTAGTCAAATTAAAATAGTTAATGAACAAACTCTATTAAAATACGATATTCAAGAAAATGAATGGAGTAGGATAACAATGGCTGACGCTCCCCGTTAAATGGGAGACTAAAATTTGGTTGTGTAAGTGATAACAATGGAAAGACTTATCTTCACGGTGGTTTTTATTATGGCGAGTTTCTAGGTGATACATATTTATTTGATACCATTTCGATCACCTGGACTTTGTTACCTGCACCTCAAATTCCAATATCAGGAGATGATTTTTCTTCTGTACTGTTAAATGATGGACGGTTGATCATCATTGGAGGATTTGGACCACAAGAGAAAAAAATGTTCTCGTACATAGACCTATTAGCCAGGTGAGGCACAAGAGAGTATTAAATCATATAATATTGAAATTTACTAACTTATAGAATATATAGATCGAATTATTTAATACGATTGATTATACTTGGAGTAGACAAATTGTACCGCAACCAAAAGGAATGACCGACCACCGTAGATATCATACATCTACACTTCGTAAGTAAATTATTACTTTCTTCACTCATTCCCTAGTTCCAAATGGAGATGTTGTAATAGTCGGGGGACTTGATGTAACACCCAACGTTGTAATATTAGAAACAGCAAAAGATCCATTTCAATGGAGGATTCCAGACATTTCTCGAATAGAAACTCCATTGCTTAATAAACACTGTGCAGAACTTGTAGAAAATAGATATATATTCATCATGTTTGGTATGTCTAGTATGTTACATTTTTTTTTAAAAAAAAGAAAAATAAGTAATACGATTTATTTTTAGGAAGTAATATGGATAACCAAAATATCTATATACTGGATACAGAGAATTATCTATGGGTTACAAGTTTTACGCCAAACACATCACTCGCAACATCATCATCATCATCATCATCACCATCAATATCATAATTAAATACGCCATCACATACAATAATAGTTGTATTATCTATAGTCATACCAATTCTATTTATTATTTTACTAGGTTTATTTGTATTTTTTTATAAAAAGCGTAAAAACCGATCGGGTCCTTTTACTACACAATTAGAAAATCTAGCGACGCGTTAATTCAAACGAAGAAAATCATAAACCTGTGCTTCGGATTTTTAGCAAACGATGAAAAAATGAAAATGGTAATTAATGATTCAAAATTTTTTGATCGTCAACTTACTTAAAGTTATGGTTCGATTGTAAAGTTTATAAATTCTTCAGGATTTTTTTTTTATTAGAAAGTTCGAATTTTCATTTACGAGTTGTTAAAAAGTACAACTCACACTTAATTCATTATTAATATCTAAATGTCTCTTACGTATACTTTTATCTTAGAGTATAATGATTTTGTGGAATATTTGTTTTATAAAATTCGTTTAAAATAGTTTTTAAGATTCTTAATAAATCCTCGATTGATATTTTATAGTCGTTGTCGTCTTATATCTAAGATGTATCAATTATACCAAATTTCTAGGACACGTTCATCTTTTATGACTGAAACCAATTTTAGAATCGATACTTATTCGACCATTGTTTTTTTTTTTGGCTCCTTGTGAATGTTTTTATTAAGATTAGCTTTTTACATATTATCTTCCAATTTTTGATAATTTTAATTCTTTATTATACTTGAATTGAATTTCAATTATAACAAACATTTAACCAATTACGGATATGCTTTCTTTTATTTTTTTTTTTTTTTAAAAAAAACATTGCATTGACTAATGAAAGAAAAAGTAAATTTATTTTTTAAAAAAATTGCTATTGAAGTAGGGTCTGGACTTTCATATCTCTTTGGACCGGACCGGATGTATCGGTCTGTTCTAAAATTATAAATTTTATACAGAAATAATTTATTAAAATTTTAGCAAAAGTCGAAAGACCTATGTTTCGATTCGACTTTGACGATTTTTCATATTTAGTATAGTTTCGACTTTATGGTTTCTGCGGTACCTTTGAAACCTTAATTGCAACAAACACAATTATAATAACGTCCCGTTGAACATTATTTATGGAAATTGATATGAGATTGGAATTGTAACAGAAAATGAAGAAAAAGAAGAACTTGAAAGTGTGCTAACATCTGCGGCTGACAATAACAGAGAAGACCAACCTTCTCCTCTGTTTTCTTTCAGTAAATAATACAAACTTTCAAATAGCAATAAATGACTATCATATTACAAACTATGAATACTAATATTCAAGAAGGAAAAAATTCATTTTAAGTAAATAGAGTTGAATTAAATTTAAAATCAAATTATTTTTAATATGGTTTATTTGCATGCCATTTAGCCGAAACATTAACGGAAAATGGGAAATGATGAAGAATTATTTTTTTTTTAAAAAAAAACGCTGCATTATTTATTATATCACCTGAATATTAACGTTAAATATATTATCTCTCTAAATTTTTTATGTATTCTCGTATTAACCGCATTGTTCCAGTGTAATAGATCCAACCTGAAAGAACTTGGAATCAGGCGGTTCAACAGGTAAGTTATCTCGCTATAATAATGTTTGACTTCATTATTTTATAGTTTTCATTCCATATGATTTAATCTTCTACAATAGAAACAATTTTGCCTTATTTTCCTGTCAAACACCTTAGCTAATTCAACTTGGTGGGTGATAAATAAATCCCATCCTCTTCGGTCTCTAATGGGACACAAATTTTTAGGGCAATTCTGGCTTAACATTTGGATAATTATAGCAGCTAAATTTTGAATTGTAATAAAATTCCGCAATTCTCGTAAACAACAGTTATACTTTAAAAAAACACCAACATTTAGCAGAAGGTCCTTTGACAGAGGTTGGAACCGGTTAATTTTTAACCGGTTAATTAACCGGTTAAAACGGTTAACATGTTAACCGGTTAAAATAGATGAATTTAAATCCGGCCGAAATTCAATTTCCGGCCAGAATTAAGATTTTTATGATTGCAAAATATTGTCTAACTCTGGCCAAATTTATAATACTGGGCCAAAGTTAATTTTAACCGGTTTATTAACCGGTTAACAAATATTTTAACCGGTTATTAACCGGTTAAAGAATTTTCGGCCGGTTCCAACCTCTACTTTGACAAATAATACTTTTAAGTATAAAAAATCTTATAAGTTCCCAAATTAATTAGTGATGCGGGGTGATAAATAGTAACCTAATCTGTATAATAACATCAATGATTCATTTAGCTTTCTTAAAAGGTAAGACTTGAAACGTTCATTAGGATGCCGTGTCAATAGAAGTTCTATTACATTCTCTTTAATAAATTTCTTCAGTCATCACAGAGTCAAGTAGTAATAGGTTTCTTCAGGGACAAATCTGGAACTGAAAATAATAAAAGTTTGTTCCTAAACATCATTATCCTTATTTCCTCTTCCTTATCAAATTCTCGTCATGATTATCATTCTTCTCAAGAGATTTTGGATTTGATGCTCTCGTCATTCCTTAAAAAAGTTGTATTCAATATTTAAATAACATATCATTGTTTTTATAATCAACATTAGGATCTAGAGATGCGATCCGATTTATCCGATCAACCATCCGATCAAACAATGGATTTTTCGTCGGATTGACCAAATATTTTTTTTTTAGACTTGTAAATGTTAGTTCTTTTATTTTTAGGTAAGAAACTCTACTTTTTTTTTAGCGATTTATCTTTTATTTTTTAGGATGCTAAACTGGAAACTAAACTGAAATTTTTCATTAGATATTTTATTTTCTATTTAAAAAATTACAAATTTACTTCTTACCCTTTGTAGAATGGTTCAGAACTTTGAAACCTTGGTTGTTAGAATCAGATCAGAGGTAAGCCCTTATGGAGAATTTTATAATTTATTTTTGTAAATCTATCTGGTAATTATGAATAAATCTTGGAATCTTGAATAATAGGTAAATATTAATGGAATAATTTGTTACTTTATTTTTTTTTTTATTTTAAAAAAACTAATATTAATTGATCTTAGTAGACTGATCTTGGACTGAAGTTAAATTTTAATTATTTTGTTAGTATATTTTTTTATTCTTTTTAAAAAAAAATACACAATTCTAGTTTGTCATTTTTTTAAAAAAAAAAAAACTAAGCTTCTGGATCAATAATATTATAAGTGTAAAGTGTTTTTTTTAAAAATAATAATAATAATTAATTAACACTTACCTTCGAATAATTACAATATTTTAAGGTTCTAAACTGATCTAAATGTGTTAGTTTAATTTTATACAAGAAAAAATAAATAAAATAAAATAATCAATTAATGAATGATCAATATTAGTTTTAGGATTTAAACCTTATTTAACATTTTAAAGTATATTCAAAACAAATATTTTCTTAAAAAATAAAAAAAATGTTGAAATGCAGATAAAAGATGATCTATTTTCAGTACAAAAGACATTATCAGAGAAAGATTTTCTTCTTAAGAGACAATACTCGTTTAGTAGAACAGAACCTCAAAAACATCCAGTGATTTTAAATATCTGATCTATCTGACAATAACCTGATCTAGCTATAACTGTAATTCACATTTTTGACAAATACCTCATCAGATATCTGGATTGATCAGCTTCAGATCATATCTCTATATTGTTCAGACAGAACAGATCACTAGTTGAAATAATCCAAATCAGCTAAAAATTGAATAGCTGATTTTAGGCTAATTTTAATATTATTTATGGTTGATTTGCCATATTTTTTGATCAACACAAACAGGTGCTGATAGATGCTAATCGACTCCAATCAGAAATGGCCATTCAGCATCAATTCAGAACTTAAATTTAACTATAAATCAGCCTAAAATTAACCTTAATTCAGCATCATTCAGCATTAATTCAGAACTTAAATAACATAAATTAGCCTAAAATTGATCTCAATTTAGCATCATTCAGCATCAATTCAGAATTTAAATAACCATAAATTAGTTGAAAATTAGCCTCAATTTGGTATCAATTTAGTCAAATAAGCATATAAAA